ATAAAATGTGCAGTTCAACTTGTAGATTTTTTAAAGTCACTTTTACATCTGAGAATCTATGATTCTGTGATTTCTCTACCAGTCTCAAAGTTCTTATTGAAACGAGACCTACATTATATTCGTTTTTACACAGATTGGCCAGCTTAAACTCTGATGCAATCCAGCAATCTAGGGCCTGAAACTTGGTGCTCTATTAAGATTGATTTATTAGATGAATGTGGAGTCAAAGAAAGCTCTGTAAAAATATTGGCTTTCAAATCTTAGCACATAATTTCAAGCTGGTGTAACCACAGCCCCAAACCTGGATGTAATTAAATGTGAAATGGTCTCATTTTAGCATGGGAGGAAATCAGCTTTCTGGTCAGAAGTAAATCTTTTTCAATTTAGTTTTAATTGGGAATTTTCCTTTGGGGGAGCTGGAAGAGCTCTAATGGTTAAAGGAATAAAATACCAAATAGCAAAACTCTTCATGAACGATTACCCAGCAGAAGATAGGAAGACTCTAACTTTTTTTTAGATTTTATTGTATTATGTTATGTTAGTCACCATACATTACATCATTAGTTTTTGATGTAATATCCCATGATTCATTGTTTGTGCATAACACCCAGTGCTCCACGCAGAATGTGCCCTCTTTAATACCCATCACCAGGCTAACCCATCCCCCCAACCCCCTCCCCTCTAGAACCCTTAGTTTGTTTCTCAGAGTCCATAGTCTCTCATGGTTCATCTCCCCCTCCAGTTCCCCCCCCTTCATTCTTCCCTTCCTACTATCTTCTTCTTCTTCTTCTTCTTCTTTTTTTAACATATAATTTATTATTTGTTTCAGAGGTACAGGTCTGTGATTCATCAGTCTTACACAATTCACAGTGCTCACCATAGCACATACCATCCCCAGTGTCACTTTCGTTTTTAGCAGTCTGGGTGGTTTGAGAGGATACCTGCAGTGGGGGACTTGTGATCTACCATACAGCTGTAGTCACCCACATAAAAGAGGGAGAAATACGCAGATGTCATCAAGTCATGCACATTGGGTTTTATTTAAGGAAATGTCTCCTCATGTAGCAGTGATGTATTTAAAAGTGAGACATTTCTTTTTACTTGTTTTTAAGGGATGGCTTTGACAGGTCTGTAAAGAAAAAAAAGTCACTTTCTATCCTACAGATTTAGTAACTGCCCTTAAATGACTGATCATGTCACATTTTCAGTGGAGGCAACATGGTGATTTGCTTCCATGGTGATCTAATGATGGCTAAAACGAATGACTCTGGATTGTCAGGGCACCTTGCAAGGCGGCCACTAATTAGTTATTTTTTCATAATCTGCTGGTGAGGAAATTACTAATATCATTACTTAACACATCCTTTGCAGTTTACACTTGCAGAGTGCTTAAAAATTCATTTGTGGTTACAAGGAAATGACCATTTGTGCTATTCTTAGAAAGAAGGAAGAGAACCCGTGCGCACAATGCGACATAGTCCGGGGCCTCGAGCCTTAAGTTCTGTGCTAGCCCCTCGGCCATGTGGCTTTCAATTCGAGCTGAATAATGGAATTATTAAGTGTGAGGCATTTTTAATGTATTATTCTAATCTCCAGAGAAGGAAGTCAGTAAACAATAAAGTAATTCAATTATAAAACTATCCTTCCAGAAATAAAACAAAACAAAAAAACCACAACCTTTTAATTTAGTAATTTTCACTTCTAAGGCATATTCAGCAAACAGACTGGAAAATTTGAAATGTGCTCTGGCAGTTGTTTAAAAAAAAAAAAATCTAGTATAAATTAGTCCCCTGTATTTGCATTAAGGACTGTCACAAAATCCTTTCAACTTACTTTTTGGCCACTAGTGTACCCCTCAGCCAGAGCCTATCTACAGGTGGCCCCAGTGGGAGAGAGTATTTCTATACTATTATATTGATAGATTGTGGTTAATATTTAACCTAAATTTGTAATCAGAATATAATATTTATAATATGATTGATAGATAGATGAGAGAGAGGTGATTTAGGAGACTATACTTCTCTCCTAACAAGGAAGATCGGAGAGGCAAAAAAGGTTTCAACGAAATTAAGATTTGCTACAGATAACTTTCACCTTAAAACTGGACAGGAGGGAATGGTAATGATACTAGAGAAATAATAGCGGGCAAGGAAGCTTTTCTTAATCACAAAAATATCAATTCTTTAAAACCTACCGCGTATTTCCTACCTAAGTGCCGCAGAATGTTGAACAAGTAACCAGCTCACTCACACAATTGACAATAGGAATTATGCAAGTCCAGAATAACTCTCCTTTTGCTCAATAAACCATTTGTTTTATTCAGAGAAGCTGCTATTTCACTTTGTCACTGGCTCCACAGTCCTTAGGTCTTACCAAAGAACAAGGAAACACCAGAGCACAGCACATGATTGATTGGATGCTTTAAACTAAGTCAGATAGATGTTCGAAGTAATTATGACCACTGCTGGCCAGTGATGTGGTCAAATGCCTCATCAAGAATGTCTGTGTAGGAGGTTTTCAGGGGCTGCAACTGGTTGAAAGGGGGCTATGGAAGCTCAGAGGCTTGTTCCCATGGCACTTTTCTTAAGACTGAGTGACAACCAGTTTTCTGCTTCAGAACCTGGAGGAGCTCATAAAGATCAAACCACCCCTTGACAGCTGAGTGTGATTGAAATTCTGAAAACTCTGAATACTGATGAAATATAACATAGAACTTTTATTTTCGACTTATATAAGTATGGCAGATTTCAGACGTGCCACAATTGGAGCTGCTTTTAAGCCCAATTACAAACGTCCATTTTTCACTCACACAGAAAAATCTTTTCTTTCCCGAAGAGTCACTCTGCAAATATGGATCTCTTTTGAGATCAGGAGTCTCTTGGAGATAGACTTGGCCTCATCTAAGTAAGATGAGCAGCAGAAAACAGTGTATGAGCTGAACTAACAGAAGGGTGCTGAGTCGAGTTTTGTTCAACGAATCATATGGCTGGCAAGGATGACATGTCAGATATTTCATTCATTTTAAATACCAAACCATTTCCATAAATCATTTTTATAACTTTAAATGCATTATGTAGGTATAGTAACAATAGATGGTGTGTTTCAGTGTGCCAGGCATGTCCGTTTGCTTCACTACATACTGTGTTTCTCATCTCGTTTTCCGAAGATGTATTTATCAGATCATTTTTTACGGCCTGATCCATATTTTAGTTTTATTCATGTAGTCTTGTTGATTGGTGATGTTATGCTTCTTATGCGATTGATTCTTCCTGGTACGTACACGTTCAACCCACATGAATATCATCTTAGTGTCTCTCTCTTCCTTCTTGCACATAAAGCAAAAGGAATCTTCTTTTTTCAAATGCATTTGTCAGTGTAGTACAGGAAGAAAAAAATGCACAGGATGCATTTGGGGCTGTTTAGCATAAAAACTCCATCTGAAACAGCTGTATTATATAACATAATGTGTTGTATTTCAGGATATTTAAGGTTGAGTTTCTTTCCTGTGTGAATGCTATACTATTTTCTTTTCTCCCCTGACTTCCCCCTCCCCCTGTTTAACAGCAGACAAACCCAGGGAGCACTGAATGAATCCGATGATCCCGAAACAGGCTGTCTCACTGATAACAAGCCAACTTCTCGACACTTCTATCCTGTCGCCTTGCTGCTTGTCAGCTCACACCTGCTAGTTGTGTGGCTTATTTTAAGTCTTGCATTACTATTAGCCAAATACCAATAAGTTTTATGTTGTATTCCTTTCTTTTCTACAAATGACAATGGACTTTAAATTATGGGGCACGGGTGGGGGCGATGCTGTAATATTTCTACATTTTCAGATTCACAGAATTTAGAAAAAAAACCAAATGTTTGAACTGTAAGTGTTTTGTTTGTTTTTCCTAAAATCTACAAAAAGAAGTACTATGCATCAAGGGAATTATTTTGCTCTTTTGTTCATGGAAAAGTGTTTCCCACTGTTAACTAGCTCAAAAGAATTTTTAAATTACTGTCTTTGGAGTAAGACAAAGAACAGAATCCTGAAAGCTTGAAGTTCTGCACCTCCCGTTTCTCTTCCCATTCAATTTATCAAAAACAATTAAGAATGAATTGGCACAGTGCACTGAAACCCTGAGACAAGTCTTAGAGATGTGGGAGGTTCCAGACTTTATTTCCACTGTGCTAATATCATTGTTGTCGTCAGCTGATAGAACCTTCTGTTTGATTCCTTAACCTGTGAGTTATGTTAGTTCTTGGCTTCAGTTGACCCTTTTCTGTCAAGTAACTTTATGGAGAGAATGGCTATTTACGTTTTGTAATTAAATTAACCTGTTTGTAACTATTGTTTGGGTTGATTTGGCTCTCAGAATACTTTTCTATTCTTTTTAACAAAGTCTTGTTTGTGTCTTATGCGCCATTTTCAGCACCTGTGACTTTTGTACTGTCTGCACAAGCCCCCTTCCTTTATTAAGCGGAGACTTGGACCGGGCTGTTCGGAAAGCCATTCTTCTCTTCGTTGCACAGCTAAAATAATGAAGTAAAATAGAGATGAAATTTTCCTTTAAAAATCTATAGGGCCAGACTTAATCAATTAAATGCCTTATTCCTAGAACCTGCATCCTTAGGGCTACATGTAGATTTTAATGTGTTTTAAAAGAGACTGAGAAGTTAATTTGTGGCAAAGTTATAAAAAAAAAGGCAGATATATTTATGAAACTAAAGTGAAGCTGTATTGTGGAGCAAATTATATTTAAAGAGTTTATTAAACCTTAAATATCTGTTAAGAGCAAAGAGACTTGAATCATCTCTTTCCGAGGGCAATAACGGTATTGGGCCTGGCCTAGGATTTAATTTTGTAAGATGTATCATCATTTGTGAAAAAAAAAATGTAGAGTTGAATCTTTGTTATTTTTACTTGGACTGTTGCTGCAACTCTGCATTGAACAAATAAAGCATATTTATTTATTCTGTGTTTCATGAAGTTGTACTTTTTCCCCTTTCACCAGAGAAGGATGCCGCATAGAGAATGTACTGAAGAATGTCAAATGCAGAAAGTATGCTTTCAACATGCTACAGCTGATGGCTTTCCCCAAGCAGTACCGACCTCCAGAGGGGACTTATGGAAAAACTGACACCTAACTTTACCAACACGTAAATAAGCAGGAACACAAACACGCTGCAGTCGGATAATCTCCACCCTTTTAACTTTTTTATTGTCACAAATTTGTGGAGGGAGGTGATCAGGGATGTTTGCCCAAATCTAGGCATTATTTGGATTAGGTATTAGCATATTACTCTGAATGAAATCCATTAAAAAAATCTTAAGTAATATTGTGATTCTAGGTCTCAGCTTCAACGCGTTGCCCCCCGCTGGCTGCGATCAGCTCAGAACAGGTGCATTTCATTCATGGAGTCCTTCAGCCGGAGGCATTCTGAGGAAACGTAGGTTGCCACAGGAGGAAGACAGGTGACTCAGAGAGGGGCGCTCGACCTCCAAAGGGAAGACGAGAGGGGACAGGGGAGGGAGACTCAGACATGTAACTTCACAGCCGTACTCACGTGTAACCTTAAAAGCCCATGTGTGGGATTTGGAAAATACTTTTCCAGTGAATTAAAATTCGGTAGCATCAAGGCATGATCTTGACTGTGGAAGCGGGTTGCCGGTGTGCTTGTAAAGACTTGGGTCCTCCAGGCCAGACGAGACCAGTCCTCCCGAACAGGTAGATGACAGTGTTAGCAACACGGTGAAGAGACTTTTCCATAACGTGGTATCTTTTCAAAACTCTGACTCGTGTCGTATGGCCTCATGACAAGTGGTGATAGAGAAAGTTGAATAGAATAGTAGGAAAAAACACCGCAAGGAACAGCAACTGCAAGGAAATGAAAGATGATCAGCCTGCTGATGTCAAACCTGAAAATCCCCACCAGCCTGAACTTTATGTAGCCAAGTTCATAAAAGTCAATAAACTATCTTTGTGATGCTTTCCAGTAGTCCTCTTGCTACAGAATATAGATGGTGGAAGTATGCATTGTCTGGCATAGATTACTATGTGTGAATAAACATTTTAAGACCTATGCAACCATAACTAGTGATAAACTGAAACAATTATTTCTGTTAACCTGAATTTGAAATTTATTCTCAGGGAAATCGCACCATAGGTTTTCCAAAATTCCAAATTAGAAATTGCTTTAGAGATCATCTTGTATAAGGTCATTATAAATAGGTAAATTAAAGCACAAGAAGATATGCACCCCGTCATCCAGCTAGATAATTTTAGAGCCATGATTACAATCTCTTCTTAACTTCCTAACCTGTGGCTTGTCTAGTGTCCAAATTGCCATGCTAAAAATACATGAAAATTGTGGGAGAATGCTAGTTCGTTAAATAGAAATTGGCATTTATTGCCAGAATTGAACCTTGGAGTATAATGGTCTGAATAAATGAAACCTATTTTCTCCAGATGTTAAGAGTTTATTCTTTCTCCTCACTCATTGGAAGAGTGTGCTAGCCAGAGCATGAACCTCCCCTTGGAAATGCTGGAGGGCTGTTACATAGACATCTCCTGGCTGTGACCACATTCAGTGGATGATATTATGAGGCTTTCCAAGCTAGTGTGACAGCTTCTTGGCTAAGATGTATGTTGAACTAAGGACTTCAAACAGATCTCTAGGTTCATGTTGGGTTTTTCAGATTACTACAAATTTTAGATAACCGTTTGGGGCTGTTAATACTAGAATTCTCAATCCATTATTTTAGCTACTGACTTGTGGGCACTATATTTGAGGCCATCAACAGTTCACAGGTTTTTTAATAAAAAGATGCAGTGTACTATAGATCTATTTACAGACAAAGTTTCGTGGTGTTCTCCCTTATGCTTCCTTCTCCATTTCAGTGATTAAATATAATTTTTGAATTACTCAATTTTATTTGAAAATAGTAGGATTTGTGGTTATTTCCATGATCCCATTGGATTTAAGGTAAAGAGGTTTGGGATGACAGAGGTTTCCTTGAGTAACAATGAAGCCTCATTCAGTATATCAAAGAGTGGTCCGTGTTCCAAGAGACCTTAAATTAAGATGTATCATCCTGTAAATACTCTTATAAGCAGTCATTTTTGTTTATATTTTTAAAAATGAAAAGTCTTGACTCAAATATTGAAAAAATATTTATTAACTAGAAAGCCAATAAGTAGGGTCTTCTATTTGGGGAAGATATCCCAAAGATATTTTTTTTTCTTTTTTAATAAGTACTGATAGAGAAGTCTCACCCAAAGGCTAGAGCTTACTGTAATACAAATGCATAGAGGTTTTCTTTTATTATTAGCAGGGTCATCTGCCTTTCCCTATACAAAGCCTGTATCTGTGCATGCTGTTAGAAGTGGATTTAACCAAGAAAATTCATGTTCCATACCAACAGCAATACTGCTCCTTTCCTGAGAGCTATTCCAAGTAGCATTGGAAATCCACCTCACTATTTCTTAAGTTATTACAGTTTTCTAAATCAAAAAGCAAATGTCAAAAAGTTCTAAAATCTCCTTTGTACAAACACAGCCTCGTCATGCTTTCCTCTCTCTCTTTTTTTATTTAAAATATACACTGAAAACATATTTAAAAACAAGGGAAGGTGAAATCTTGATTATGTTTGACCCAGTGGCAAAAGACCCAGAGCCTGAAAATGTTCCACGAAACAGCTGAACATAAAAGTTTCAAATATTTGGTTGAAGCAGACCCACATTTGGATGCATTCATTAATTTCTCGTGTGGTGTTTTGTTTTTTTTTTCCTTTGTAAATATTGTCTTGGATTTTTTTTATATCCTGCCAAAACAATCCTTTGGTGTTCAGTCAGTCCAGTAATCCAGTGAGTCAGAGCCACCATTTGATCCTGCTGACAAATTGTGCTAAAATGACCAACCAAGTAATTAGAGCAGCATACCATGTGACTAACCTCCAGTTCTCACTTTATAAGACAAATCCCTGTTGTTGTTGTTTCTGAAAAACTGTGAAGTCTTAAAACCCAGCATCTGGCTGGAAGATACTTCCCTATTTTTTTTTCCCCTCAACTATGTATGGTATTTTGCATAAAATAAGATTCAGTGTGGAAAAGAAAAAAGATCTGCATGGAGTAATGCTTTCCTTCCCAACAAATCAAGCCCCTCCTTATGTAAAGTATGATACATGCCAAGGAGAAAGGATACCAGTGGTGCACAAGAACTGACTATGCAGACTCAAGAGAGCTGATCATTAAATTTTTAGGAATTTTGTAAGCCAGTTGTTAAATACACCATCATGAGATACTAAGTTATCAAAAGCAATTGAATGAATTTTATTAAAAACAAAGATAATAATCAAAACTTACCACCTCCTAATTATTTTCCTTCATTTTACTCTTTACTTGTGCTTCTGAGATTATTTATGTCCACTGTCTCTGCACGGTGGAAACACTATATCATCATGTGCTACTGTGCATCTCTTCCTGACTCCACACCCAGGAACACCATGTGGGTAGCTTGAAATTGACTACAGTGGGAGTATTTACATGCAGAAATTACCCAGTGCTGCAAACTGGGACTTTTAATTCCTGGAAAGCTAGTTGTTAAACATTTACCAGCACACAACCGAATGCTACCATCACTTTTTTCTCCAGCAAATAACAAATAATTGGAAGCATTATAAAATTATTAATATGGTATTAAGTGCAATCAGGCATCTTCAGATGACCACAATTTTGTTTTGGATTTCCCCTTTCTAAAGACACCTATTGAACTCTAAGTAATATTTGGTGTTTATATGTTATTCATAATTAAATTATATAATCATACAGATGCATTTAAAAATGTATCTCTCTCGATGTTCTGCAAGGGAAATATTAACAAGGCAGCCTTAGTGTAAGCAATTTAACAACTGTGGGCTACATTCAGAGAAATGTTAGCCTAATTAGAGTATCACTGAAAATGTGCTTCAGTACAAATTTTTAAGTTTATAATTTTAGCATTTGCTAAAAGCAGAAAAAACAGTAACATATCACTGTGTCCAGATTCTAGTAAGTATAGTTCAGTTGAAACCCACACTGTTGGATTAAGCAAATTAAACTCCGGCAGTATGCTAAAACACCACAGACATTTTAGATGTTTGATTTCCAAGCAGGATGGCCTATCAGTTGTCTAATTCAATATGCAAGGACACCTTTTGTAATCTTTAGGAAATAAATTAACGTTTATCACAGATTTAAGAAACTGGCTTGAGAAAAACTGTGATCAGCAGTTACGGAGGGAAGCTAGTGTGTTGAACACAAAGCATCCCTAATAGCTGGAGGCTTTACAAATTATGCACCACCGAAGAGAATGATTTGCTGAGAGTTGTGTGGTGGATTGACAATTTTAGTGTGAATTGACATTCATTTAGCTCAGCTGCAGTCTGCAGAAGCTATGCTTTTTTCCCCCATATTTATGTTTTATTGCTTTGCAAAGAAAGTCCCAATATATTATATCCTTTGTTTCTTTGGCAGTTTTAAGTTAGAACTTTCTACCCAAACAGATGCTACCGATAGCAAAACTGTCGTTAAGAACAGGAAAATAAAATCAATGTTTAGATAAAATATTGTGGGCCAATTAGGTATAAAGTTAAGGTATGGAAATTTGGATTTTTACTTTCTGAGCCACGGTGCACATTAATCAGTCTTTGAATTTTATTTCTAAGCAGGTAAGAGAGTCTAAAGCATTTCTGATGTCAAAGAAACACCTATCTGACTACTAGTAACAAGGAGGTAGGAAAAAAAATTGTAAGGTAATATTAGCCAAAAAAATAAATTGTACGTGCAATTAGCTGTCCTCAGCTTGAATATCATAGATTATGTGAACATTTGAAATTATAAATCAACAAAGGAAAACATGGCTCACGATGAAGTATACCACCCAGAGTGAATATCAGGAGAGAGAAGACCTAACACAAGCAATGTTGCCTGATAAGACAGATCTTGTTTATCTTTAATAAATCGAGTTCTTTAAGATGATGTTGCACTTCCCTACTCATAGCGTGAATATATTCACGAGCTTCCTAAAATCATTGAAATTACTCTACGGTCACAAAAGGGCATAATCTAACAGTCCATCTTTAGTGATCACGTGGTACAGTTTCATTG